TTAGTAAAATAAATTGTTTTTTTTATGGTATTTGTTTTACAATTTTAATTGAATAAGATTTAATTCTTATTATCTTCTGCCAATCAAAAATTCAAAAAAAATTATTTAATTTATTTATTTTTTCAATAAATCTTTTATTAGTTTAGATAAACTTCATTTATTTATCAAAATTATTTTGTGTCTATAAATTTAATGATAAAACTAATTTATTAAGCAATAAACCAAATAAAATAGAAACAAGTTTGTTATTTAAAATTAAATTTTTGTTTTTCTAGCTAATAAATAATTTAAAAAAAATCATTTCATTTAACAAACAAAAAAAATTAGAATATTATTTTATAAATAAAAAATAGCTTTCTATTTAACTAAAATTAATTTTTTGTATTATTTTTATTTATTATTTCATCTATTTTTGAATAAAATTTCCTATAAAATAATAGATTTAATTAAATTGATAATGATGCTATTTAATCTTTAGGGTCTTCTTTAGTAAGTTGTAAGAATCTTAAATACTTGCTTCTAGACCTGAAGTAAAAAATAAATTTATATTTTTAATCTTTTTTTTGCTTATATCTTAATGAAAAAATGTAAAAAATAAATAAATTAATAGGAGTAATCGCATTCGTAATTAGGGAGCTATAAGTTTTGGCACTATTTTATCAGGCTGCAATAAACTTTTAGTTTTGATTCTTTACCTCTAGTAAAATATAATCAATTTTTTTTATATATGAAGAAAATTCAACTTTTTCATTAAAAATTAAATTATTTATATTACTTTTTCTTATGATTACCTTTTCCCAACATTAGTACTTTTGAAATTATCTATCTATCTCTGACTTTCATTTTAAATTAAAAAAATAATTTGATATTAATATTTAATTTATTAATAACATAAAGCAATAACAATATTGTAGATGCAAAGTAAGTAAAGAAAATAAGTGGAAAGCTCTATAAAACTAAAAGATTAGTGAACAAATAATTTAATTTTTGATAAAATTAATAACTTAAATTTGTTATTTATCCAAACAAATTATTAAATTTATGTTAAGAAATATTGTTATTAATTAATATAAAGTAAATATATATTTTATTTTAGAAAAATATGAAAAACTAAAAAAAAATTTTTATTTTATTTAAAGCATTAATTAAGAAAAACAAGATGCAATACAAAAATTTCGTGGTATGCATGCAACTTATTATGAAATACATTTTTTAGTTATTTATTAAAAAATCTATCTGATTTTAATATTTTATAATAGAATTTTTATTAATTAATAATTTAATTTATAATAATTTCCAAAATAAATAATTTTTTTACATCAAAAATTTTAAATTTAGCTAAATTTTGTGAAGTAAATGGGGTAATAAAAATAAATACAGGATTTGGGGGGCAATTAATTAATTAATTTCTAAAGAAGAATTTCTAAATTTTTCCTAACCATAAAACGCATATTAACATATTACTTATATTCAAATATATTAACCCCCCTATAAAAAAACTTATTAATTAAAAAATAATAGGGGAAATATTATTTTTTCAAATCAATTAAGAATAATAAATAAATTTAAAATAGATCTGAAAATAAAAAAAATGTTATAATAGTATATTTAGTTTAATAACTTGCAAGAAGTAAACTATTTACTTTTTTATTATAACTTTTCTTAATTTTTATTTTTCATAAAAAAGTTTTTAAACTCATCTCTTGAATCTCATACTTTCGTTTAAATTAATCTTAGGTAATTCTTTATTATTTTTATTTCTATTTTTCAGTTATTATTTTTTTATTTTTAGCTAAAAATTTCCTTTTATTATTTTACTTTAATAAAATTATTATATTCTTTTTTTTTAAATTTAAAGTTACAAATAAATTTATCCAGTCGAGGCTTCAATATTAGGTTCTAGCTTATAAAAATGTAAAAATCTCTAAAATTTGACACTTTTACTTGAGTAAAAATAAATTTTATTAAATATCTTGAAGTAAGTTCTTCAAAAAGAGAATAAAAAATGCTTTAATTAACTAAATTTAAATTATTTGGCAAATTTATAATAGTTTATTTGAGGTTTCAATCACTTTTTTATTTTCTACCAACTTATATTTATAATTTTTCTTTTAAATAAAAAAAATTCTAAATAAATGATAGCTCGAACTATGTTGGTGATTATGGAATATAAAGTTTAGGTACTTCTTTGGCAAAATGCTCTAGTATCTTACACTTGACTCTTTTCATAAGGCAAAATTATATTTTTTGCATTTTTATTTTTAATTATTATTGAATAAAAATTATTTTTATTTTTTTTAATTGCTTTCTTTTTTCAAACTTTAATTTTAATAAAATTATTTCTTTATTTTAATAGAAATAACAAAATTGGGGCATAAGGAGCATTAGATTTGTGCTATGGTTTGGCTTGCTGTTATAAACTTTAGAGCTTGGATCTCAATTTTAGGTAAAATTTTAGAGTTTTTATAATATTAGTTAGAAAGAAAAATGTTTATTATTATGATTGATAGCCTTAATTTAACAAAAATTTTTTCTTTTTAACATTTAATTTATTTTAAAATCAATTTTGATGATTGTTTTAACCATTTTCTTATCATATTTGTTAATAAATAAAAATAATAATTTTATTATAAATTAAAAGCTTTAATTAAATTGATCTTTAGTGGAAAAAAGACTTATTTTCTGCTTTAACAGATTTCACTTTTGTTTCAAATCTGACCCTGGACTTTTCGTAAAATAAATACTTATTTTATTATATTTCTTTCTTTTATTTTACTGAAACATAAAATAATAAATATAAAATGATTTATTAAAGTTTAGTGAAATTTTTATTGTTTCCTTGATTTATAATTTAAAATTTTTTCTTGTTGTAAAAAAATTAATTTCTTAAGTCAAAATAAAACTATAAAAAAGTAATAACTAAATTGATCCATAAGGAGTAATAAATTTGGGTCGCTCTTTGGTAAAATGTGTTAATCTCCAAGGCTTAAATCTGCTTATTAAGTAAAAATTTTTTATTTTGTTGCTTAATTACTATTTTTTAATAAATAAAACTTATTTTGAAGTCTAACTTTATATCAAAATAAATCATAAAATCAAGAAAAAATAAATGTCTCGAAAATTAATTAATATCTCAAAAAAATTTTAAATATTAAGCAAAATCTTTTTTTGCCTTAATTTTAATTAAAAATAACTACTAATAGCAAAATAAATTAATTGAGTGTTTTATTATATAAATGCAAGTTTAAAAAACTAATTATGCATTTATTTAAGTAAATTTAGTGCTAATTAAAATAAAAATAAAAAGCTTTTCAATTATTAATTTTTCAGTATTTAACTTTAGCTTAAATTTTCATTTTAAATGATAATTAATTTTTATTTTTTTTATTAAATACAAAAATTCATTTTTTTAAAATGATTAAATAGTGCAAATAAAATTGGAGAATAGGGGGCATAAGGTTTAATTTCTGCTTTGCTTAATTGCAGTAAACTTTCAAAATTATAACTTGATCTCAGGTAAATTTTATATATTTTTATTAATTGTATTAATAAATAAAACATAGTGCAACTACTTATAACAATTTAATTTATTCCTTAGATTTAAGGTTTACATGCGTTTATTTACATTTAAATTAAATAAAATTTAACTCAGTGATTTATTTAAATTTTTATTTATTGTTTGTATATTGTCTTCAATACAATTAAAAAATAATTTAATTTATCAATAGATTTAATGAATTTGATGGAGCAAGTATAGCAACAAATATAAGAAGAAAACTCATTAAGTTGAAAAGATTGGTTATTAAAATAATATTGTTATGATTAATTTTATATAATGTGAATGTTTCACAATATATGTTATATTCTATCACTAAATTCTTAAAAATTATGTAGATTTTTATATACTTGACACAGATAATGCAGATATTTATATAATAGATTATTCCAATTAGCAAATATATATTTTAATAATAATAATTTCATTATTTATTTTATTTTCTCCTTTAATAATTTCTTTACTCATGAAAATTTTGTCAAGTTATTTTATTATGATTTCAATACAATTTTAAGTATGATTTTGATTTAACTAAGCTTTAATTAATTAATAATCTAATTTCCCTCAGTATATGATTTAAAGTATTGCTTGATTGATTTGTTTCTTTTTTGACTATAAACTAATGAAAGTATTACCCTATATTATGAGTTTTGAAGTATGATATTATAGATTTTAATATGTAAGATTAATGAATTTAAACATAGAATTATGTCTCTATTTTAATTATTAATTATTTTATATCATAGAATTAGTCTGTTGGCGATAGTAATGTAGTAGAGATGTATGTACCTTCTAGTATATATTAAATTCTAATTTTAGTGAAGGTTATAGGAAGAAGATATGTTTGACTTTATTTTATAATTTATCATGTGTATATAAAATATTTATGTGGTATTACTTTTTTTATATAGATCGATTGAAAAAGTAATTATTTTATAATATATCATCGGAAAAAATGATTTACAAAACTAGAATATTTTCCTGAAAGTTATCCATTTTATAAATTTTTTATTATCTCCATATCCAATTTAAAATTTATTACATAATGATAAGTGATTAAGATATATTCTATGTAAATTAAGGTATAATATAAATAGAAAAAAATATACATTTTTCTAATTTTTTCAATACTTTATTAATTATTTTCCTTCTCTTTCTAAAGTAAATCAATTCTTCTAGGGATTGATTGAGTCATAAAAGAGAATTTACAATCGGGGCTTTTTAGGATCAGTAAGCAGTAAAAACCTTTCTGCCTACTATTTTTTCGCCTTCCAAGTATTTTCCTTGGAGGGCTACTTTTTAGACTTTTTTAAAAACAACTATACCGAATTTTTTTTTAATTATTCAGCCGTATACCGTATCATGAAATTTATACGGTACAGCTGTATAATATAGTTTTACCGTATATACGGTCGATCCCTAATAACCACAATAAGAATTTTCAACTGAATTTTAAAGCAGAATTCAAAATTAACTTTTAAGAAAAATTAAAATAATTATTCTAATAAAATAAATGTTTTCCTATTCAAAAAAATAATTATTGTTTATTTCCTGTATAATAAGCATATCATTTTTTATTACTTAAATGCAAAAATTTTTAATTAGGTGAATGATTATCAGTAAATATATAAAATATCAGTGACTATTTTTGCTACATTCAAAATAGAAGTATAAAGGGGATAATTATCTTTTTCTTATTTGATTAATTTACTTGAGAATTTAATAATGCTGATTTTTATTTGTGAATAAGCTAATTAGAAATTAATTCAACTACATCAAAATTGACTTTTATTATGAAGCACGATCAATTTTTAAAAGTCTGAAATATAAAATAGTTAATATTTCTTTGATCAAATTTTGAAAATGTTTATTTAATTATTAATCATTACACATTCATTTCATAAATATTTTTTACCTCGAACTTTATTAGAAATTGTTAATTTCTTATATGACTAGTAAATACATGAATGTATTTTTTAATTAATAGATAAGATTTACTCAGAATTTAGAAATTGGTAAATTATTTGATCTTTTAGTTATGTTAGATAATTTAAATTCATTTGAAAGATCTAATCCCTACTTCATTTTGAATACAAAAATAACTAAAAAATATTTTAAATAGTTAGTTCTCTTAAAATATATTTTAATTTGTTAAGAGGTTAAGAGAAAGCTAATTTGTTTAAAAGTATCTAGTCTTTCTTTTTGTACTTTATAAATATATGCGATTTTGATTGATCTATCCCTTCAGAAATATTTTTTCATAAAGAAATATGACTAGTAAATACATGAATGCGTTTTTTAATTAATAGATAAGATTTACTCAGAATTTAGAAATTGATAAATTATTTGATCTTTTAGTTAAGTTAAATAATTTTAATTCATTTGAAAGATCTATCTATTCCCTACTTCATTTTGAATACAAAAATAACTAAAAAATATTTTAAATAGTTCGTTCTCTTAAAATATATTTTAATTTGTTAAGAGGTTAAGAGAAAGCTAATTTGTTTAAAAATATCTAGTCTTTCTTTTTGTACTTCATTTGTATAAATTTATGAGATTTTGATTGCTCTATCCCTTCAAAAATATTTTTTCATAAAGAAATATGACAAGCTTACATTTATTTAGCCTTTTCAGTTATGTATAATATCTATTGACCAGTGATTTTCAAGCCAATTTATGATATTATTTTTTGATAAAATTATTTTTACAAAATTATACGCAAAGCTTACACATATCTAAACATTTAATTAATCTTAATTAAGATACCATTAGTAGGTAATTTATTTAATGATGTAAAATAATATCTATTTTTTTAATTTGTTTATATACTGTAAATATTAAAAATCAACAAATATCTTATCTTCAGGATTTTAATATTTCACTATTTCCTAAGTACTGTAGCATCTATTTTTTTTCTCCATTTTTTATTGTGTCAGAGCACACTTTTCTTTATATATAATGAGTTAAGTAATGAATAGTTAGTAATGTACTTTTTTTTAATCATAAATGGTTCATGAAAAATAATATTTCATATTAATAGACTCATATATTTTAGTTAAGTCAACATTTTTTGAAAAAAGAAAAAAGCGTTTTAAAACTTTTTGGATGAAAAAATCAACAAAAAATTGTAGGGTAGTTAGTAATTAATTAGTGTAAATAAATACAAACTAAAAATAGATCAAAAGATTAATAAAATTAATAGCAAACATATTTTGATATGAAAACTAAATTATGGGTATTTTAAAACTAACTCAAAATCTACTATATTTACATACCTTTTTTTTAATTTAAAGTAAGAATATGTTTTCTAAAAAATTTAAATATAATATTAAGAGATTCTAGTTTTTTTTAAAGAATATTCTTCTTAAAAAGCCTAATTTATTTATATATTTTTGTTTATAAAATCTAATATTTAATTAAGGACACAAAAAATCTGTAGATAAAAAGAGTGGTCAATAGCATTAATACATATTAAACATATAATTTATATTGAAATACATGAAATTTTATGTGAAAATCTTACAAAGAATTTTTTAGATTTATGAAAATTAATATTTTCATCTACCATCTATTTTTTTATGACTTACTTTTGATTTGGGAATAGCATACAAAATTATTTTAAATTTATAAATAAATATTTATAAATTTTAAAAAAATAATAGTTAATGTTTATTTGATTTAACTTTGAAAATGTTAAATAATTATTTATCATTACACTATCATTTAATAAATATTTTTTTCACTCAAACTACTTTATTCAAAGTTATAAATTTGTTATGTTATTTGTAAACTCATGAATATACTTTTGAATTAATTATCAGAATTCAGAAATTGATAAATTATTTGATCTTGTAGTTATGTTAGATATTTTTAAAGATCTATTCCCTAATTCATTCTGAATAGAAAAATAACTAAAAAATATATTAAGTAAATTTGTTGTCTTAAAATGTATATTATTTTGTTAAGAGAAAATCAATTTATTTAAAAATATGTTGTCTTTTTTGAATTTTATTTGCATAAATATATGCGATTTTTATTCCTCTATCCTTTCAAAAATATCAAAAATGTTAATAAATATTTTTTTCATAAAGAAATATAACAAGCTCACATTTATTTAGCATTTTTAGTTATATATAAAATCTATTTATCAGTAATTATCAAGTCAATTTATGATGTTACTTTTTTTTAAAACTATACTAATAGAATTATACTCATTTGTCAAAAACTCAAACAAAAGTATAAATTTTTTCTTTTTAATCTTACACATATCCAAAAAGTAAACTAATATTAATTAATAATTGTTACTTAAAAAAACAAAAATAACAGTGTAGTTAAGCTTGAAATTAACTAAACCTTTGAAAAATAAATTTATTAGTAATATTTTGTTATTTTTTGTTTTTTATTTATATACATAGTGCATATAAAAAAGACATGAATTTTGAGTAAAATGAAAAAATAAATTTATTATTATAGCAATAATTAAATAGTAAAATAAATTAATAGTTGCAAAAAGATATTTTTTTAATTTAATAGGGTAAGGTATAAAAATTAATAAATGCTATCTCATTTATTGAGCTTTTTAAGTTACTACCTAATTTCAGCTCGCTTATCTGACTTAATAAGCTTAAGATATTTTTTTATTTAATAAATATTATTGTCAAAAATCCTCTTTATTTTCCTTTAAAAAAATGCTATTTATAAACGCCATCTTTTTAATTTTACTAATGGATTAGCTTGCTTTCACTTCCTAAAAGAATACATTTCTACTAAATTTGTAAAATTTTTCTTAAAATTTTAAAATATAAATTATTCAGCCCCTTGTTTATAACTATTTATTATTTAGAATTGTTTAGAAGGCTCATTATTATTGACGTTTTTTATTCAAATTAATTAAAGTACTTAATCAGAAGAAAATAATTAAATTAAGAAATTTTATTCTATTGATCTATCCATCTTTATAAATACCTAAACCAAACAACCTCTATTCATAATAAATAATTAATTAATGAATTAAAAAAGAAATTAATATAAAAAAATTTAAGTAAAATGACTATTTTAAAGTTACTAATAGTTTCGCTTTTAGTAAGCTAAATATTTGCTGTAGGTGCTGATGTTCTCTGCAGTGATACTTAATGCACTACTCCGGGTAATTGCCCAACCCCTCCTACCAGCACTCCTGCTTTGAGTTGGGGGAATGGTTTAGGTGCTGGAAGATGCGCTATTAAGTCTTGTCCTCTATCTGGAACTTCAATTACTGGTACTTCTGATATTTATTGTCAATCTTGTCCTGGTACTCCTAACGGCAGTAACCAAGCTGTCTTTGCTAACACTGCAGGAAATGCTTGTGTGGCTTCAAGTGCAACCTGTGGTAATTCTAGACCTGCTAATACATGGACTGATGCAGATTGCCTTATATGTAATGGTAATACTGCTCAATATGCAAATGCTTATAATTCTGGTTGCTAAGCAACTATTCCTCTTCCTGGTACTGATGTTAGTTGCACTGGTACTGGATGTGCTAGTCCTGCAAATTGCCCAACCCCTCCTACTAGCTCTCTTCCTTTGAGTTGGGTGACTGGTTCAGGTGCTGGAAAATGTGCAATTAATGCTTGTCCTCCATCTGGCACTTCAATTACTGGTGCTACTGATCTCTACTGTCAATCTTGTCCTGGTACTCCTAACGGCAGTAACCAAGCTGTCTTTGCTAACATTGCAGGAAATACTTGTGTGGCTTCAACTGCAACATGTGGTAATTCTAGAGCTGCTAATACATGGACTGATGCAGATTGCCTTGCTTGTAATGGTAATACTGCTCAATATGCAAAGGCTGATAAATCTGGTTGCTAAGCAAATCCTATTCCTGGTGCTGATGTTAGTTGCACTGGTACTGGATGCGTTAGTCCTGCAAATTGCCCAACCCCTCCTACTAGCACTCTTACTTTAAGTTGGGTGACTGGTTCAGGTGCTGGAAAATGCGCAATTAATACTTGTCCTAAATCTGGAACTTCAATTACAGGTGTTACTGATCTCTACTGTCAATCTTGTCCTGGTACTCCTAGCGGCAATATATAAGCTGTCTTTGCTAACACTGCAGGAAATGCTTGTGTTGCTTCCACTGGAACTTGTGGAAATAGTAGAAATATTAACACATGGACAAATGCAGATTGCTTGGCTTGCAATGGTACAACTAATTAGTATGCTAAATCTGATAAATCTGGTTGCTAATCAACAGCTCCTTCTTCTGCTTAATCTTCATCAAACTCAATGATAATTTTAAGCTCAGTTTTATTTTTAGTTACATTCCTTTTCTGATTTTTTATATTTGAAATAAACTAATTCAATTAAAAAACAGAATTTAAATAATACTTATTTGATTGTTAGATCTACTTTAACCTTTGTATTATGTATGATGATTTAATTTAAAAGTATTATTGTGCAGTCAATTATTTATAAAATTTATTTTCATTTTATTTCTTTTTTGTTTTTATTTTTCTGCAAATCATATTCTTTCATTTCATTCTTAAATTGTTCATTAAAATTTTTTTTTTTCAATATTTCATAATGACTCTAGTTTAAACCTTTTTTAATTTAAGCATATGTTCTAAATAATCTTGCTTAATTTTTAAAAAATAAAATTTTGGGAAGCGTCTAAAAATGAACTTTAACAGTTTTAACTAAGGAAATTAGCCAAATGGCTAAAACTATTAATTTGTACTACCTTTTATGAATCTTTTAAGATAAATTCACAAGAGAAAAAAATTTAATGGAATTTCTTCTTAAGGTCTCTAATTTCCTATGAATGCTAATGGTTAACTATTTTAGTCTTCAAATAGATAGAATTCCTAAAGCTTTTAAATTGCTATGATCAATAATCTACAGCTGTCGCAATAGCTAATGCCTAACTAAAATCAAAATCAATATATTATTCAAAATTAAATTACCTACCATCCTAACGGCAACTAGTTACTGTCTATCAATCAATCATGTTAAGCCCAAAATATATACAATTTGAATAATAATAATTATGTCATGATGTAATAAAATATCTTGTTTTTCAAAATGATATCCAATTTATCAATCCTCAAAAAGTAAATTTACTTTTTAATTTATTTAGTTATTTATTTTGAACTTATTTTATTTTATTCTAACTTCATCAATATATAAATTTATTATTATCACAGAAAATTTTTAATAAGTATGATTTGAATATATAGAAAATGTCTAATAAAGAGGAAAAATTTCCAAAAAATTATTTTTATTTTAAAAGGTCTATGTTTTTTTAATTCTTTTATCACTTCTAAAATATTAAAAATTTCTTAATATATTTTTCGTAGAAATATTATTTTTGCAAATCAATTAAGAATAATAAATAAATTTAAAATAGATCTGAAAATAAAAAAAATGTTATAATAGTATATTTAGTTTAATAACTTGCAAGAAGTAAACTATTTACTTTTTTATTATAACTTTTCTTAATTTTTATTTTTCATAAAAAAGTTTTTAAACTCATCTCTTGAATCTCATACTTTAGTTTAAATAAATCTTAGGTAATTCTTTATTATTTAAAAGAAATATTATTTTTATTTCTTTTTTTCATTATTATTTTTTATTTTTAGCAAAAAATTTCCACTTATCATTTTTACTTTAATAAAATAATTATATTCTTTTTTTTGATATTTAAAGTTACAAATAAATTTATCCAGTTGAGGCTTCAATATTAGGTTCTAGCTTATAAATATGTACAAATCTCTAAAATTTGACACTTTTACTTGAGTAAAAATAAATTTTATTAAATATCTTTAAGTAAATTCTTCAAAAAGATAATTAAAAATGCTTTAATTAATTTAAATTTAAATTATTTGGCAAATTAATAATAGGTTTCAATCATTTTTTTATTTTCTATTTTTCTTTAATATTATAAAATTTTTTTAAAAATGATAGCTCTAATTATGTTGGTGATTATGGAATATAAAGTTTAGGTACTTCTTTGGCAAAATGCTCTAGTATCTTACACTGACTCTTTGCATAAGGCAAAATTAAACTTTTTTTCTTTTTTATTTATAATTATTATTGAAAAAAAATTATTTTTATTTTTTTTAATTACTTTCTTTTTTCAAACTTTAATTTTAATATAATTATTTTACATAAGCTAAAAAAAATATTTTAATAGAAATAACAAAATTGGGGCATAAGGAGCATAAGATTTGTGCTATAGTTTGGCTTGCTGTTATAAACTTTAGAGCTTGGATCTCAATTTTAGGTAAATATTTTGAGCTTTTAAAAATATTAATTAGAAAGAAAAATGTTTTTTATTATATTGCTTAAATTTAAAAAAAATTTTTTCTTTTGAACAGTTAATTTATTTTAAAATCAATTTTGATGTTTATTTTAGCCATTTTCTTATCATATTTGTTAATAAATAAAAATAATAATTTTATTATAAATTAAAAGCTTTAATTAAATTGATCTTTAGAGGAAAAAAGACTTATTTTCTGCTTTAACAGATTTCACTTTTGTTTCAAATCTGACCCTGGACCTTTCATAAAATATATATTTATTTTATTATATTTCTTTCTTTTATTTTACTGAAACATAAAATAATAAATTTAAAATGATTTATTAAAGTTTAGTGAAATTTTTATTTTTTCCTTGATTTATAATTTAAAATTTTTTCTTGTTGTAAAATTTCTTAAGTCATAATTAAACTATTAAAAAGTTATAACTAAATTGATCCATAAGGAGCAATAAACTTGGGTCGCTCTTTGGTAAAATCTATTTTTTAATAAATAAAACTTACTTTGAAGTCAAACTTTATATCAAAATCATAAAATCAAGAAAAAATAAATGTCTCGAAAATTAATTAATATCTCAAAAAAATTTTAAATATAAAGCAAAATCTTTTTTAGCCTTAATTTATTTTGTTTAAAAATAACTTCTAATAGCAAAATAAATTGAGTGTTTTATTATATAAATGCAAGTTTAAAAAACTAATTATGCATTTATTTAAGTAAATTTAGTGCTAATTAATTAATTAATTAATTAAAATAAAAATAAAAAGATTTTAAATTATTCATTTTTCAGTATTTAACTTTAGATTAAATTTTCATTTTAAATGATAATTAATTTTTATTTTTTTATTTAATAAAAAAATTCATTTTTTTAAAATTATTAAATATTGCTAATCCAGGTATTGAAATTCCGCTGAATCGACTTTTAGGAAAAATTTTTTTTTTAATTTTAATCACTGATATTAAAGCATCACGTTAATTAATTAAACCAATATATATTTTAAAAAATGAGTTAAGTAATGAATAGTTAGTAATCTACTTTTTTTTTTAAGCATAAAAGCCTCTGCTGAAAATGTAATAAATATGATAGTCAATAATAAATTCAAGGCATAAACAAATAAATTTATCATGAATTAAATAATAATCTATTATTTATTAAAAGGTTATTTAATTTAAACCTTAGCTTCTTCCAAATAAAGAAATTTATGAAAAGTAATATCTCATATTAATAGATTCATATAATGATTTAGTAACACAGTATTTTTGAAAAAATATATAAAGCATTTTAGAACTGTTTGGATGAAAAAAGCAACAAAAATTTTTAGGGAAGTTAGTAATTAATATAAATAAATATATATATACTTATAAGAGAATAATAAATTAAAAGCTAAATATAATTAACAGTAAATACATTTTGATATGAGAACCTTATTTATTTATTTATAAATTTCATACTTTTTTTATTCAGGATTAGATATTTATTTATTATTATTTTATCTAAAATAAATTTTATAATCTTGAATGAGCATTTTACAACTTATTAACTAACTTACTAACTAACTAACTAACTAACTAACTAACTAACTAACTAACTAACTAACTAACTAACTAACTAACAATTTTTTATACATTTTTGTTTGTTTTAATTTAAGGTAAAAATTTGTAATCAAAATTTGTATTGATTTAAAATCTGAATATAATGACAAGAAACCTATTTTTTATGTAAAGCTAAATGATAAATTATATTAATAATTTATATTGTTATACAAAATGAAAAGGCACATACATATACTTGATTAATAAAAATTTTAATTAATATTTGTTAAAAAACATTTTATTTGCGATTGAAACATCTCATTTAATTTATTTGGCATTATTTAGAAATTTGAAAAATCTAATAATTTTGAAAAGACTGCTTAAAAAAAATAATTTAGAAATATCTAATGCTAGCTTACTAACTAACTTTCTTTATACAAGCATTTCAAAATTATATTAATAAGTAAAATACCACTAATTGGTAGACTTCTAGTATTATTCAATTAATTAATCATTCAAAATAGAAAATATCTTTTTTGTTTTATCCTAATGAAAATAGTTAAGTCTACAAAATTTAATACGAGAATACCTGAATTTTTTTTCAACTCAGTAATCAAATACAAATAATTTATAAGTAAAGTATCTCTGTAACATATTTGAAAATTTACAAGCGCATACGCAAAATAGATATTTTAAAGAGAAAAGAAAAGTGGGTAATTAATATTTTAAAAATTAATGGTAAAGTCTAAACTATTTGATATTCGATTTTAGATTATCACTCATTTTGATAAAATTGAAGCATATGATTCCCATCTATTATAATTAGTTAAAAGACTAACTTATAATTTTAAAAAATATATAGATATTTTGATTAATTAGCTTTCAAACAAATGACCACATATAACTAAATTTTTAAAATTTGTAAATCATTGAAAGAATACAATAAAAAATATTTAGTTTGTTGTATTTGATACTTTCAATTATCCTAAAAGCTAATTTAGATTGACAATTAAATACAGATTTAATTAAAATACGATTTATTAATTTGCATCAGAATTCTGAAGTTGAATTCTAATATGATTTTGAAGAAAAAATTCAAATTGTTTATCTGAATAAATAAGTGTTTTAGTATTTAAAAAAATAATATTTTTTTCATTACCTTTTTAGAAATGTTTTAAATTTCAACAATTTATCTATGATAAAATAATGATTTTTGACCAATTAGCGAAAATTAAAAATACAAAAACTAAAAATAAATTCATAATTTTCTACTTGTTATTAAGTGATTATCTGATTTGAAAAATTATATTTGTGAATGAGCTTATTAGAAATTAATTAATTCGTCATTACCAAAATTGTATTTTCCTTTTTAAGAAATATTAATTTTTAAAGTCTACAAATATAAAAAATATAAATTTTATGAATGAATTTTTTATGATTTTTCTTTCTAATTAAGGTTACTGTTCTTTATAGTAGCTTTGGCTACTTCATGTGGTTAATAACTTTTATACAATAAAATTAATAATTGACATTTGATATCAACAAATAATTTGATGCAAGAAATCTTATATAAAAACTATCTTTTAGATTTATGAAAATTAATACATTACCTTCCATCTTACTTACTTACTTTTCATATTTTTAAAAAACAAACAAACAAATGTACAAAATTATTTTAAATAAAATAAATAATAATCGATCCATTCATTTTCAAAAAAATATTAAAAAAAAGCTACAATTTTTTTATAATCTGTAAATTCATGAATATATTTTTAAAATCAATTAAAAATATTTACCCAGAATTTAGTAATCAATAAATTTTTGATCTTGTAACCATGAGCTAATTTATTTATTAGATAAAAAAGTATTGCATCATTTTAATTAAATTTGAAAGGACTATTTTCTATTTCGTTACAAGTAGAAAAATAATTTAAAAATTTTTTAGAAAGTCTGCTGTCTTATAATATATTTTATTATTTTGTTGAGAGAAAACTAATTTATTTAAAAATTTATAGTCTTTTTTTGTATTTTATTTTATTATAATATGTGTGTGTTTGGTTTTGATTCTTTTCTCCCTTCTAAATATTAAAAAAATCTCTAAAATATTTTTCATAAAGAAATAACAAAAATCAGATCTATTTAGGATTTTTTGTTATGTATAATATCTATAATTAGTGATTGTCAAGTTAATGTATGCAGATATGATATTATTTTTTTAATAGTATATTTACAGAATTATATGTACATACACATTATCAAACACTCTAATAAAATAATTAAATTTTTTCTTTCAAAGCTTACAATATTTCTAAAAAGTGTACAATCTTAATTAAGAAATAATAATTAATTAATACCGATAGGATTACAATGCAGCTAAGCTTACTTGCTTGAAATCAACTAAAGCTATGAAAAATCAAATTTTTAGGAATATCTTATTCTTTGTTAATATATATATTTAGTAGTATTATATAATTATAAAAGCTCTAGCTGACCCAAGCCAAACAAACTTTATTTTTAAAATGCTTGAATTTAAGAAAACCATATGAAAACTTTAAAAAAATTTTCATCATTAAATGATCAATTATTAATCATTTATATCGTTATACAAAATGAAAAGGCCCATAAATATACTTGATTAATAAGAATTTTAATTAATCTTTATTAAAAAACATTTTATTTGCAATTAAACATCTCATTTCACTTCATTTATTTGTTATTATTTAGAAATTTGAAAAATCTAATAATTTAAAAGACTATTAATCAACTAATTGATTTTTAAGAACAATTATCACTTAACTAAAATAATTCAGAAATCTCTAAATTCATTTGCTTGCTTACTACTAACTTTCTTTATACAAGCATTTCAAAATTATATTAATAAGAAAAATACCACTAATTTTGTAGACTTCAAATATTATTCAATTAATTAATCATTCAAAATAGAAAATATCTTTTTTGTTTTATCCTAATGAAAATAGCTAAGTCTACAAAATTTAATATGATAATACCTGAATTTTTTTCAACTCTGTAATCAAATACCAAAAATTTATAAGTAAAGTATCTTTGTAACATATTTGAAAAATACACAAGCGCATACACAAAATAGATATTTTAAAGCAAAGAAAAGATGGATAATTAATACAGATGGGATCGAAAGTTTATATTTTTAAAAAATTAATAGTAAAATCTAAACTATTTGATATTCGATTTTAGATTATCATTCATTTTTATGAAATCGAAACATATTTTTCCCATCTATAATAATTAGATAAAAGACTAACCAATAATTTTAAAAAATGGATATTTTGCTTTATTCGCTTTCAAACAAAAGAGCACGTATAACCAAATTTTTAAAATTTCTAAATCATTTCAAGACTATAATAAAAAATATTAAGTTCTAAATAATTACTGTTGAAATTATTGTATTTGATACTTTCAATTATTCTTAA